AAGTGCTTCCACCACGGGGTGCCTAACTTAACCAGGCAGGATCGGTGCTGTCATCCCAGGCTCTGCAAATACCATTCACAGGTGTTCCTACAGCAAACGCACCGAACCTCCACTCCGCAAGTGACGGCGTGTAAATGCGGACTTCGTGCCTGCGGCAAATCAGCAGCGTCCGAATCCACCACCTGCTTTAACTTAGCCGCGTCGCTCCTGGGCTCCATCAACGGGGGAGGGGTGCAGGTGGGGGACTAGCCAGACTGAAAATTTATCACGCGTGGAATGAGCATGCTTACCAGGGCTTGAAAACAACTTTAACGCCATCGCCTGAGATCGGAGACTGGCAGGTGACCCCGGGAATGCCGCCACGACATCCTGATCCCACGGCAGGGTGACCCGCCCACGCCAAGCTCTGAACTGCTTCTGGAGCCCGAGTCTGAGGTTCAGTGCGGTAGCGTGGCTTAGGTGACAGTGGGTCACCGTCATTTCCCCCGTCACCCACTTAGAACTGCCCTTTTGAAGGTTGACTTTAACTCCCCACCGGCCTTGGCCCTGTGGGGCCGAGGCCGTAAAATGCAGCTTTGGGTCAGCAAATGAAATCCACGGTGCTCATGTCACATCTGGGGTCACCGTGGGCAGAAAGAGGTGAGACTTTTATAGGCATTTTCCTGACCGGTCACTGCACAGCAGAGGGACCCGCAGGCCGCTGGGCTCCCGATTTCTGTGACTCAGACAGCCTGGCATGCAGTGGCCCCTACCTCGCCACTCTCATGCAACTCATTACTGCAAAGCAAGGTGTTGGCCCCTAACACTGAAGCAGCTGAAAACGATCCCACCAGGTAGCACCCCATCAGGACTCTGGGAGGTGGGGCGGGGCGGTCTGTGGAACCCAAAGTCTCTGTTTGGCCGCCCAGCACCTGGAAGCGTTTAGAGAGCTGGCTCAGATGGGCTGAGCAGCTATTGGGGGCCCCAGTGCCTTCACTTCCCTTTGATGTCAGAGCTAAATGGTGCTTCCAGGGGGAGTGTGTTTCTTAATTCCACCACCTTCCTTCCTCCTGTCGCCATGAAACAGGGCGGCTTTTCACAAACAGCTTTGGCAAAAGCTGAGCATTTCTGCACTTGGTGCTCATTTTCACTTGCCCTCTTGCAAGAGGCTTAGGGTCAGCCTTCCCTCGCGGTTTGTGGCCGAGGCGGGGGACGGCAGGCAGCGGTCAGGAAGGGCTATGTTCAGCCTGCCATCAGTGGACACTTGTGGGCCAGGCCCTACACTAGGCCTTGAAGGTGCAGCGTGACATCTCCTCTTTAAGACCGCCCTAGGTCTTGCTAAGTCAGGGGTCCTCAAACTTTTTAAACAAGGGGCCAGTTTACTGTTCCTCAGACCCGTTGGAGGGCCGGACTATAGTTAAGAAAACAAAAACAACTATGAACAAATTCCTATGCACACTGCACATATCTTATTTTGAAGTAAAAAAACAAACGGGCCAAAAACACCCGATGGGCCGGATAAATGTCCACGTGGCCCGCGGGCCATAGTTTGAGAACCCCTGTGCTACATGAGAGTCTGTGATGAGTCTCTGGGTGGGTGCCAATGGGCAGCACACTCAGCTGCTGATGGAAGGGTTGGAGCTTTGAATCCCCCCAGAGGCTCCTTGGAAGCAAGGCCTGGTGACCACCAGTCCTCTGGAAGGCGCCCTGCTCTCTTGCAGCCAAGAGCTACCCCTCCTGGGGGAGGAACCGTTCTCGTGATATCTTACAGCGTCACCTCATTCTTAACTTTCTACAGATGTAACCACCCAGCAGCTAGCAGGTCCTTCTTTAACCCCCGCCCCTCCTCCATGCTGTTTGTGAGATTTTGACACGTGACAGCAGTTGGTTTTCATTGCTCTTTAGTATTCCACGTCAAGAACACACTACAACTGTGCATCGGATTGCTGTTGGGCATGCATTACTTACGTCTGGGGGGCTATTGCAAATAAGCTTGCTATCAACCTTCTGGAGCCCTGCTGGTGTAGTGGTTATGCTTTGGGTTGGGATCTGCATGGTTGGCAGTTTGAAACCACCAGCAGCTCCTTGGGAGAAAGACTGGGCTTTCTACTCCCGGTAAAGAGTTACAGTCTGGGAAACCCACAGGGAGGCTGCTATTGAGTCAGCTTTGACCGGCTGGTAGCGTGACTGAGAGTGAGATAAACATATGCGCACACATCTTTATTGCTAACACTCCCACATCCACCTCTCAGCCAAATAAAAAGGCCTATAAAATGAGGAGAAACACTTGGGAGGGACATACATGTTCCTTAGAATAATTAACCACAGGAGACCAAAAGGGCAGCATTTGCCCCCAAAGCAAGGTGAGAAGTCCCTGTGCGTCCTGCACGCCATGTTGTGTGACTGAAACAGGACTATGGTTGGAACTCAAAGTCCGCTAGGTCAGAAAGTTTGGTCAACCAACCTTGCTGCTCCCTGGGGAGGTCAGCCAGCCCCGAGCTACCTCCATTTCTTCAAAGGTCCACATAAAGCAGAGGGGGCCACGTCTGGTCTAAAGCCCACGACATCGCCACGACCAGCTAATCACACACACCTCACCAGGGAGAATCTGTTCTGGCTGTCAAATCAAGGGTGAGTTAATCAGGTGTTTAATTAGGATGGCCCAAGAATGGTATTATAAATACCCAAATGATCCTTGGCAGCAAAAAGCTTCCCCACCCTTAGTCTAAAGCAGCGGTTCTCAACCTGTGGGTCGAGACCCTCTTTAGGGGTCGAACGACCCTTTCACAGGGGTTGCCCGCTTCATAACATTAGCAAAATGACAGTGATGAAGTAGCAACAAAAATAATTTTATGGTTGGGGGTGGGGGTCACCACCACATGAGGAACTGTATGAAAGGGCTTCAGCTTTCGGGAGGTTGAGAACCACTGGTTTAAAGGGACTCGCTTGTCCTTCCGAACCTTATCACCGCCATTTAGTCAATGCTGTCACAGTGAGGCCCCCCCATCCCGTGGGTTTCTGAGACTGTAACTCTTTATAGTAGAAAGTCCAATCCTTTTTTTCTACGGGGCGGCTGGTGGTTTTGAACTGCTGACCCTGTGAATCGCAGTCCAACACATACCCACTGCACCAAATCTTCAGGGCCAAGTTAATCATTCAATCCTCTTTAGCACCAATTAGGGTGAACCGTACTGTTCATCCCAGGACATGTCGTGTGACGACCGGACGTGGCTGTCTCTCCTGGGCTGAGGGCACATCCTGTCCTCTCTGTGGCCTTAATACAGTCCTCACCCCCCAGGGCTGCGTGATAAGGCGCCCTCTGGTGAGCTGGTGGGAGGGGCATGCCGCAGGTGACTGTATTAGGGCAGCACGGATGGAGTTGGTAACTGCAGTTGGCACATGATGAGAAAGAAACACAGCCACCCTAGAAAAGTGTCCATGACTTACAGGGCATACTTGCATTGTATGTTCAATCCGGCACAGTCACCTTTCTGGACCGTCAATGTTGAGGACTACATGCCAGAGGAAGGGGAGGCAAACCCACACCCACTGCCATCAGGTCCATGCTGGCTCCGGTGAGATGGTACGCTTGCCGCAGCAGTCAGCCCCTTCTTTCTCCCGTGAAGCTGGTGGCTTTGAACCCCATGCTTATTCCACAGTGCCAAACACCCGGCACTCAGCGTACTCTGTCCTGGCCTTGCCCATCAGGTTCCTGACGTGATGGGGATGTGCCAGGAGAACCCGGCGGAGTTGGGATCAAGTCAACAGCAATGAGTTTTGTGGGGTTTTTAAGTGACACCCGAGGGGGCCTGCTCAGCAGGGGGCGTCTTTCATTGCTTTTGCTAGGATACCTACTGGGGCCTGAACTTCCTGTGAAGACAAGGCAGGCATATTGAGTGGGCTCTCAAGCCAATGGCTTCTCCGGTTCCCTGGTACGTCCCTCTCGTCTGACGGGCACTGTGCGCATGAGTTTGGAACACGCTTTGCGCAAGGCCAGTGGCACTGCAACTCTGCCTGTCCTGCCACAGCCACCACTACCAGGTGCTAACGAGTTGACCTGTCAAACTGTGTGCCAGGCTGAAGAAGGCTTCAATGGCCGATTCTTAGGAAGTAGATCATCAGGCCTCCATGCCAATGTGCCCTGGGTGAACCTGCACCTCTAACCTTTGGGTTAGCTGCCCTGGTGTCTAAAACCTGGCAGTGTCCTGGGCGACTAGAGTTCAATGTGCCACCCGAAGGGAAGCAATCTCAAGCCATTACTCTAATTTTACCCAGAATCCTCAGCACAGGTACTGCTCTGGCTACAGGGAGGGCAACTCAGACACAGGGAAGGCAGGCTGCCAGGTAAAGAGAAAATGGCTGGCATGCTAGCAACAGTGGCAGGGGCAGTGAAACGACAGCGTGCCCAGGGGACTGTGCTCAGACATTCAACCTACATAACTGCAGGACCGCACTAGCCGGAGCCTCTACGGCAGCAGCTCTCAACATGTGGGTCTCGACCCCTTTGGGGGTCAAACCACCTTTCACAAGGGTCGGCTAATAAATCCTGCATATCAGATATTTACATGGATTCATAACAGTAGCAAAATTAGTTACGTAGTAGCAACGAAAATAATTTTATGGTTGGGGGGGTCACCACGACACGAGGAACTGTATTAAAGGGTCACGGCATTTGGAAGGCTGAGAACCGCTGCTCTAAGGAGCAGTGAGAGGCCCTAAGAAAAGGTGGCCTTGTTGGCAGACGTAGGGGGTGGGGCTACGGAGATGCCCGGGTGTATAAGGGCATGCTCCGTGGTGGGGGCAGCACCTGGCAAGGAAGCCATTCCCTTATCACACAGGCCGCCTCCTTCCTCCACACCCTGCTCAGAACCTGCCGCCCAGTCAGGGTCACCGTCACAGCCTGGGGCCACTGTGCCCCTTGCACGTGCCCTCATCTTGACCGCGTGCCAGTTAGACAGCAGCAGGGAGACTCGAACCCCACACATTGCCTTTTAAAAGTAAGGTAGGAAAATACCACGAAATGGGAGCATAAAACAAGTTTATTTGTCTTTCTGGCCCTTTCTGTCGTGAGTCAGGCTGGCTGCGGCAGGGCCCCCACGGCTGTCGTCTCTCGAGTGGCCAGGGCTCAGCATCGTGGACCTTCTCATCTTCTGGGCTGTGTGATCCGCCCCTCCGGGACCCCGGGACTATTCACAGGAGCGGGAGCTCCGCAGAGATGGGCACACCGATGGCCTCCTTTCCAGAGGCGCGCCTTCCACCGCTACTCATTGTACTTGGATAGCTTTAGCCTGGGGATGATGTTCATGGACTGCAGCTCCTGGAAGAGCAGCTTGCAGGCATAGGGGATGCGCAGGGAGGACACGTGGCAGGATGACTTGCAGTAATGGCACCTGGGATCCGAGAAGGCAAAGGTTAGAGGGAGACTCGGAGAGGCAGGGCTGCACCCAGGAATCGAAGATGTTCCCCACAGAACTCTATTACCATGCCCCCAAATGAGTCACTGTCCACTCCTAGACGTTCAGTCACGCTAGCACGCATGCATAAAACGCGCGCTCACTCGGCTTTTAAAAAGCAGGCGACATGAATCAGTTACTACCGCCTCCCTTCAAGATCTCCTTAAAACGCAAGATGCCACTTATACACTTCTTTTGAGTGAGTTTATTAAGTCTAAACCCTCTGAAATGTACCCATTAGGTTTCTTTTCCTTGTTGAATGTGGTTCCAACTGGTTCAGTCATGTACCTGGTATTTCCCACACGAGTACGGGGAAGAAGAAGGGTCTCCTTCCCCTTGTAGCAGCCATTTATGCCGCCAACAGCAACAGACGAGAAACCAAAGGACATACTGCTCTGGGAAAACCAGCTGAAGAAGCCCTCTTTGAGGATGAGGGTACACCTGACCCAGTAGTGGTCTTTTAAAATGGTCTCCTATCTCTGAGGCAGGCCCATGCGACGACGTGAATTGTGGTGCTGGCGAGGAGCGCTGGTCTCGGAGAAAGCACCCCGAATGCTGTCTAGGAGCGAGGAGAGCAGGCTCATCTTGCTTACGTTGGACAAGTCAATCTTTGGAAACGGCCATCGTGTTTGGTCATGTGGAGGGCCGCTAAAATGAGGGAGGCCTTTTTGAGATGGACATTGAGGACAGGGCAGGGCAGGGCCGGCGGTGCTTTAATCGCTTCCACACACGGTTGTGGAGTTGGAGCCGATGTGACAGTCACTAACAGCAACACCGATGGTACACCTTAATTCCCACTGCACTGGGAAATGCACAAGTGTCACATAGGAGGACAACAGCCAGTCGGATGCTCGGGACTTTCCCTTGCTCTTCAAGCTCAGCTATTCCTATTAGTATCAGAGCTGCTGTACTTACCACGCACCACCCCTTGTACACAACTCACATGAGTGTGTGTGTGTGTGTGTGTGCATACAAAGCTCTGCTCAATCAGTGTAACAGCCTGTGTGATTCTAACAAACCTGCTTTTGATTCCGATGAAGATTTTCTTTGGTCAATCTTTTTTCTACCCTCAATGGCTACAAGGAAAGAGGATCTTGGGAATGTTAATTCCTTTTTGAAGTTTTAGACCCAAATATGGCTTCCCTCTACTCCTCAAGGGTCTGGGGCAGCTGGGCCCACAGGTCCGCAGTTTTAATCTCGACACAGAAGCAGTGGAGACACAGGTCCTTCCAGGTTACAGGCGGGGACTAGCGGACGGAGACGGAGACGCCTCGGGGCTAACCAGGACCAGGATGGAGAGTCCTTGGTGAGGAACAGAGGATGCCCTGTGCAGGGGTGCAGTACGGCAGGTACACCTCACACTTTTTGTTTAGTGAGCACAACCGTGGCAAAGATAGGCTTACAGTGTTCAGAAGCACAGCCGGACACACGCAGTGGAACTGCAGATAGAGGGCCTTGAGAGCAGCCGGAGCACACGATTACTGACAAGAAACAGCAGTTGAATGGTTTCTAGTAACTCAAAGCAGAAAACCAGTCCAATGCCCAGCAGGCAACTGGTTCTGTGGTTGCAGATGTTTCCAGACAAGAACAGGCCCGGTGCAGTCACGAAGCACTGAAGCAGACCCATGCTCACTGAAACGCAGGGGTGCAGTGAAAGGGGAATTTCGCTGAACAGTCTGATTCCCAGGGGGCCCTTCCAATGGGTTTGGGACCTGCACGGGATTCTAACATCACCTGGAACCTTTCAGAATGGGGAATAGTTTTTCAACGATGAGCATTCAGAGGGGTTCACGATCCCCAAAGCAGGAACCATGGATCAACACAGATGTCCCCAAGAGAAGCTGCTGACAAGTCCGCAGGGGCCCTCGCTGCTCCGTGGGGATGGCGGCGGTGGCCCCTTTTCCTGTGTGGTTTGTCAAGTTGGGAAATGTTTACCGTGAGCAGGGCTCATTTTCACAGCCAGGAAAACTTCATTTAGAAAAAGAAAAAGAAAGCGTGGAGGCTGAGAATTCAAGAATCATGGCACTGGACTCTGTAGGGAGAGGAGTTCCCAGTGACCAGGGGGGGACAGTAATGGGCCAGGGACCTGACGCTGCATTAGGTCACTGCAGAGGCTGAACACAAACTGATAGCATCAACAGTAGAATGTAAACTTGGCTAGTTACTTTTTCTCAAATGATTACATACACTCACCATCATCTGATTGACTCTGACTCATAACAGATGTATCGGGACAGGGCAGAACTGCCTTTGGCGGTTTCCAAGACTGAAAGTCCTATGGGAGTAGAGATTCTGTCTTTCTCCTGGGAACACTGCTGACCTTGCTCTTCGCAGTTTAATGTGTACACCCCCCCCCACCATGCCACCAAGATTCCTCTTTAAAAAATTGCATAAAGGCCTCATGACAGCACTATAGTTTGAGAATTATTATTTTTAACATTCCTGGATTGATTAAATACATTCAGGAACCATGCTCAGGCTCTGAAATGGAAAGACGGATCACACAGGGATCCTGCTTGCTGATCTGTGCTGGGCCCTCACACCAACCTGATCTAGTTAGAATTCCCATGGGTTTCGATTCATCACCTACAAAGCCTATCAATCTTGATTATTCAATATTCCTCCACCAATTAAAAGGCTTCAATAGGTACCTCTGTATAAAGATGACCCCTCTCTTGCTCTAGAAATGCATCTTAAGCTAAAGGAAATATTATTTACCAGAATGCTTTCAGTCGTAACCTTTGTGCGGACCTGAGCCCGGAGTGTGACCACACAAGGGGAGAAGCTGCACTCCGAGGGCAGAGGGGGCACAAGCGGGCGGCTGCGGCTGTGGCTGCGCCCGCCCGAGACAGGACTGTCCAGTGACACATCTTCCAGGAGCTAATTATCTTAATAGGGAGTCCACCCCGCCTTCCTGCTGGCCTTCTCTTTTGTGACTTCTGCAGAACAACAGCCCTGCTGTAAACATCCCCATAGCAATGCCTCACTAATGTGCAAATCACTGACAAAAGGCCAGTTGCAAGGTTCTGAGCTGCTCTAATTATCCAGCCTCCATTGTGCGGCTCATTAAAGAGCGGCTTCCTCCTCCAGCACCAGCACCTGGCTCCCTCCCACCTGACCCGGCCTGTGGTCAGGTAAGGGTGGCAAGGCAAGGAGGACAGTCTTCGGAGGGTCCTGGACAGCAGGCCGGATTGTTCTCTGCTGACAATGAGAGTAGAAATAGGCCTGCGGCACGTTAGGGCCACATTACAGTAAAGACCCTTGAACCAAAAGCATACCCTGATTTGGTCTTCTTTCAAAAGGCTGCAGATACAACACACCATGTACCCACGAGCTCGGAAGCTGGGTGCTGCCACCCGATGGTCTCTGAACTAGGCAGGAAGGAGATGAGCTGCCTAGCGTGGTGTGGGGACAGTCCACTCTACAGTCCTCCCCCTGGGTGTCCAGCAGGGCAGAGCCAGCTTTCCCAAATGCACTAGAGACCCAGGCCCACTGTGTCCGTTCTTTTTACTCTGGGGGAGAGGGAGCAGAAGATAGAGAAGAAAAAGACATGTTTTTCAAGTTTCCTGACCCTTATGTTTAAAGGCTCTCCCACACCACCCTGTCAGAGTTCTCCACAAAGCCTTGTGCTGCATTTGAGGCCGTAGGACCCGTGACCTCGGCGGGTGCTGTGTCTCCCAGTACACTGGCTTTTGTTTGGGCTCGTCTCCGGGCCAGGTGGCAAGCGCAGTCAGTGTGTGTCTAAACAGGCCTCTGAGGATGGCAGCCAGCCATGCAGAGCCTGCCCGCACACCGACAGGGAGAAGCCCACTGCCGGGGTCAAGACCAGCTCGTCGTGACCCTGGCCAGAGCTTCGGAGGCTGCAGCTCTTCAGGGGAACAGATTGCTTCATCTTTGCCCCACAGAGCAGGGGAGAATGGGGGGTTTGAACTACCAACCTGGGTCAGCAGTGCAGCACCTAACAAGGGCACCTTAACAAGAGAGGAGCTGGCTCCACCCTCAGCACCCTGTGCCCACCCCTGCGGCCGCCCTTTGAAAAGACTCCCTTGCAAAGGGCCAGGTCCCTGGTGAGAGGTTTCACAATGAAGTGATTTCCGCCGGCAGTCTCATGGGTTCTTGACACCAAACCCTCGGCTGGTTCCCAGCTTGTCCTGAGCCAGCCTGGCAGGCACTGGGCTCCGAGCAGCCCGGAATCCCGACCCTTGGTGTGCAGCTATGGCAGGTAGCCTGACGGGAAGATCCTGCCTGGCAGGTGGCTTTGTGGTGGGACCGAGCAGGGACAAGGTGGCTCACAGAGCCCTCGAACCCTGACAATGCAGGCTCTCCTCTCTTCCTCTGGGGATGGCTCCTTTCCAGGTGGTTAAAGGGGCTCCGCGAAGACAGCGCGCAGGCATTGCAGGGTGGTGGATGGCATCATTTGTAGGGTGGTGGGATGGAATCCTGACATGTGGGAAAGGGGTTCCAGCTACACAGACCCCAAACACGTAGACTCATCTTCTGAGCTGGCCTGTGAGGAGGAGGAGCGAGTAGATGTCTCTCCTGGCAGGCTCAGGGTCATCCAGCCATTACACTGTAACGTCACCCTGACCGGGCTCCAGGCTGGAAAAGCCAGGGAAACGTGACGCATATGGGGAGAAGGAATGGGAAGGGTGGCTCCCTGTGAGCAGCCACTCCTCTGGAACTGAGAACAATGTCTGGTCCCAAGCAAATCCTCACTAAACATTGCTGAATGAGTGGCTGAGACAGACATCATCTACGCCCTCAGAAAGACGTAGATTCCAATTCAAGAGACCAGGGTAGAACTGCCCTGTGGGTTTCCAAGACTGTAAATGTGTACAGGACTAGAAAGCCTGGTCTTTCTCCTGTGAAGGGGCGGGTGGTTTCAAACTGCTGCCCTTGTGGTTAGCAGCCTCATAGGCAACCCACTATGCCACCAGTGCTCCTTCAAGTTCAAACACGCTGTCATTCTAAGAGTCAACAATGCACGGACCAGGGCTTTTCACTGGTGACGAGAGAGACCATTAAAAGCAGTATTAGAAGAGCTGCTTTAGAGAAGATTAAAAAGTCCATCCTCCTTGGAAGCTGCGATGCCTGTCGTGAGGAAAGCAGACTCCGATGCGGGCTGAGGACGCCTGTCTCTGCAGAGTCCGGGATGGAGGAATGCTCAGGAGGAGAGGTGTGAGCTAGTGATTACAGGCGGGGGCTGAAGAATGTGAGGCTAAGGTTTGGGGCCCCCTCGAGCTGAGTGATTACAGAGGCCAGGGGTATGAGAGACAGATGGTCTGCACTTACCAGCCGGAATACCCCAGAAGTCCACACTGCCCACAGACATCGACCTCAAAGGCATCGCTTGAAATCATGAGTCTCTCCAGCAAGAGCATGCTGGCTCCGTAACCGATTAAACAGTCACGTTCCATTTCTCCAAGACGCAGGCCGCCATCACGAGATCGACCTTCAGTGGGCTGCCTGGGAACGAGTTATTAGAAAAACGTGTTACCATCATAAGCAACCGAGAGGGAGGCAGGCAGCAGCAGCATTGGGCGCTGGCTCCCAGCTGCAGGCTTTGGGGCAGACTCAACTGGATGCCAATCACTCACTTCCTCTTGGTGACCTTGACAGGGCTGCAGGGCCTCTCAGTCTCATTAGCAAAACAGACACTGAACTGCTACCCCAAGGGCATCAGATGAGAAAAGATAGACGACTATTGGTGGTTGGTGGTGACCTGCTACTTAAAAGCAGCACGACTGTGCCAGACAGACTAGAAGAAACCTGGGAATTGGTGTGTGGCTCATTGGGGCTGTAGGGAGGGGTGGGGTGTGAGGAGCAAATGGGGAGCAACAAAGAAAGGCTGGAGGGCAACGAGGAGCCAGCCATGAAGACAGGAGGGGCGGACGCGCTGGGGCAGATGACGGTGATGGCTGTGCAATCTCAAATAAGGCTGAATGAACTATGGAGGAAGTGTGCGGCATGTCCCCAATCAAACTAGTAACAAACGAAGGAGCCTGCGCCCCAGCAGGTGGTGCCAGGACTCCCCGGAGGGGCTTTACAACTAAGACGCCAGTTCAAACACACTCACCTACACCCAAGCTGAGACATAGAAGTGGATTCTTAAAGTGACATTTGGAGTAGCTCAGGAATCTCCTGGCAGGACCGACTGGCTGAGCCAGATGGAAGCTTCCCCAGAGCTGAGAATGTTCTGTGGTCCATGCTGGCCTCTCCTTGAATGAAAACGCCCACTCTCCCTTAGAGGGCCACGTCGAACTTGGACAGCAGTGAGTCCCCAGAATGGACTTCCAGTGGCTTACGCAGCTGCCAGGCCTGAGCCTACATTTGGAAGTCAGGAGTCCAGGGTGTGGATCCAGGTACTCCCCCTAGGTAGCTCGAGGGCACTGCTTCTGGCCATAGGTCTGGGGGGCTCTGGGACAGGGTGCGGGGTCCTGTCTGCTTTATCCTACTATATCTTTTAACTTTCCTTTTTGTTGTTAATGGCTAGTCCCTCAGAATTAATAAAGTGGATACCAACCTATGTTCTAATTATTATGTATTTTTAGGTTTTGTCTTTGAAGGTTAAAATGGGAAAATGATTTCAGTTGTAGATTATCTGTTTGAAGACAATTTACATATGACAAATTTACATAGGTTCCCTGTTGCTCCCTTTTCAGGAAAAAACAAAAACACCCAAACCAAACAAACAGTAACTACTCAGGACCTCGCCTCTTGGCCTGCAATGAACGTTTGCACTACACCCAGGAATCCAGGGAAACGTGGGGGAACCTGCTTTTACAGGTCCCCTGGAGCATCCGGCACCCCCTAGGGGAAGTCATGCCCATTTGGGAAAACACTAAAATGAACACACACCACAGTGGCAGCATCAGGGTGGAAGCACCCTGGGCAAGTCGGGGTGCCTCCATCAGTGCTCACCCACCAAAGCCAAGGTCATTAGAACATATGTGGGCAGACCCCAACACTTGGATTTGAACAATCTGAGATCACTGGCTACAGACAGACACACTACGGCAGTCTTCTTATGGACAAACGCACTGCCATCCAGTTGCTGCCGACTCACAGCAACCCCACAGGCGCGGGTAGAGCTGTCCCTGGGAGTTTCCGAGACTGGAACTCTTTAGGGAGTGGAGAGCCCGTCCTCTCCCAGTCTTCATATGGAACACACAAAAGTCAGACTGAAGTCATAACTTCTTTTACACAACAAAGCAAAAAACAGGAAATAGCTGCTCTGACATTTATGTAGGTCTGAAATCGTTTGTGGATGCTGTAACTGACGTGGAAGTGGAGGAGAGGGCTCGGGCTCTCACTGCAGCCTTGAGCCTCTCCACCTCCCACCATTTCCAGTACACACATGTCTACTTCAACAGACAAGTGCATCTGCTCTGTCTCAGATCAGGGATCCAGTCATTCACGCACACCTCTCCCAGGGTTAAACACCCCTCGAGCACTCAGTCCCCCGCCCCAATTTCCCTCCCCTGAATCAAAACATGCAAGCAGCCTCAGTGCAGTAACTGCTGAAACCCCGACTGACCCTGCACAAGCTCTCCACTCAAACAGCAGCCAGTCACTGGTGAAGTAGACAGGCATTAATGTCTCCACTGGCGCTAAGAGGAACCTGAAGCTGAGCAGGTAAGTGATCTGGCCAAGGTTCATGATGGTGTGACAAGGTTAAGAACAGATTCAAACCCCTGGCTCCCTGACTCTAAGGCCTGGATGTGCCTCACCTCCCCCATGTGAGCTGAGTCAATGAGTCTTGTGAGCTGGGTCCTTCTCTCAGGTGGGGGCTGCCAAGTACACTGTGGGGTGTTGAGTGGCCCAGCTAGGCCTCTGTCCACTAGATACCAACAACATCCTCCACCCAAGTCCAATGGTTGTTGGCCGTCAAATGTCTCCTAGGAAGCCTGGTTGAGATCGGCCATGTGTCCTCTGACGGGGCAGTAGAGTACTAAGAGCAGGTGACACTTGGCAGTGTAGCATCTCCTCTCCTGGCCACCAACATACAGGAACTGAGGAGGCACAGGGGATGGGACGGACGGGGACCAGGGCTACCTTGAATTTAATCTAGTAAGCATACAAATGCAGTTAGTTGTCTTTTACATCAGTAAGGGACGTTTTAAAACAAGTTCTAATGTGGTTTATGTCACCGAATACTGTGTGTGTTTTCTGTGTACACACACCTTGGTGCAGGCAGGAGTATGGATAGGGACGTGGCACAAAGGCACACATACTCTCATACGTGAAGCTTTCTGCGCGGAACCACACTCGCACACAGCAAACGGCCGTGTCAGGGGACCCCTGGCATCCTAGGGAAACAGAAGGTTCGCTGGGTCTGCTTACTCTTATATTCAGGGCAGTAAGGTAGGCTGCCCTGTTTTATGAACGCATCTCTCTTACCTGGTGAGGACAGCTCGTGGACCGCGGGCTCGAGCATGCATCTTGTCCAGTACCATGTGCTTCAGCTTCTGATAGTACACGGGGCCGAAGTAGATATACGCTTCTAAAGGCTCACTGGAACAAAAGGGGGAGTTAGGCTTCAGGTTAACAAGAGATCACTTTTCTAGGACTCATCCCTGGCAGTTTCTTAGTTTCTTCCATGTTTAGGGGCTAGTTTGTGATTTCCTAGGGACAAATGACTTTTGGCCTACGCTGATCAACAAAGCTAGATCAGAAAGTTACCAAGTCCCATGACCGCTGCTGTGGAGCCCACTCTGAGTCACTGTGTGGAGTGGCCATGGCCGTCTCTTGTCTGTGCCTTGCACGTTGCTGAATTTCCTATGCCCGATGTCGCCCGCGGTGGCCAGGTTTTAGTGGAGCAAGAACAGACTAGAAAAGACTCAGACTCACTGCCGCCCAGGCAAGACTGGGACCACAGAGACGCACAGGAAGGTCTAGAATGGGCCCGGTGGGTTCAGAGACGGTAACTATCACTGGAGTAGAAAGCCTTCTCTCCGGCAGAGCGCTGGTGGGTTCACACTGCTCACCTGTGGCTAGCAGCCCAATGAGTAACCGCTATGAGTACCATGGCTCCAAGAATGGTCTAGGAACAAGGAGAAAGCTGCCCACCCCTGAGGGATAAGCCACTGAAACACTTACAATAGCAGTGGAACACTGTTTGACACCGTGACAAAAGGTGAGCCACTCAGATTGGTAGGCCCTCAAAATGCAACTGGGCGAGAGCTGCCTCCTCAAAGTAGAGTCGACCTTCACGGACGGGAGAGATGACAGCTGTCGGGACCTTCACTTGCTGATGGGTGTGGTGCAACATGAGAAGAAACAGCTGCACACATCCACCAATAATCAGAATGCAGAATATTTGAAGTATGGAGCCAGGAAAATTGGAAGTTTGTTAAAAATGAAATGCAACACGTAAACATCAGTGTCCTAGGCATTGGTGAGCTGAAATGGACGGGTATTGGCCATTTGGAGTCGACTACAGGGTTTACTATGCTGGGAAGGACAGATTAAAGAGGAGTGGTATCCCATTCATCAAAGGTTTGTCTTGACGCATAATGCTGTCTGTGATTGAAAAATAGCTACATGCCTACACGGAAGACCAGTTACTACAACTACCATTCAAGTGGACACACCAACCAGCAGGGCTAGGAGTGAAGGAACGCATGACTGCAGTCGGTGAACACGCACTCGAGAGGCGTGCATGATGACTGCGACTGGGATGGGACGTTACAGACACAGAGGAAGGACCGGTAGCTGGAAAGTAAAGCCTTGGTGGTAGAGACAAAGCTGGAGGGCTCATGACGGATTTTGCAAGATGAACAACTTCTTCAATGCAAACAGAACATAACACTTTCCAATAACATAAATGGTGGGCTTAGCCAGATGGAATATCTGGAATCAAATCGACTGTCTTTGTGGGAAGAGATGATGGAGAAGCTCAGTATCAGCCCAAACTAGACCAGGCACCACCTGTGACGCAGACCATCAATTGCTCATATGCAAGTTCTGGGTGAAGCTGAAGAAAATTAAAACAAGTGCACAAAAGCCAAAATACAACCTGGAGTATACCTCACCAGGATTTTGATAACATCTCAAGAACAGATTTGGCACATTAAACATTAATGACTGAAGACCTGACAAATTGTGGGAAGACTGTGATAACAATTTCTTCTGTAAGGAAGAATACCAAACTAGTCCCAAGGAGTTGGAGAGTGAAGGAATTCCAAATGTCCAACTCTTGCAGATGCTAGTCTGCTCCATCACCCCCCCCCCCCCCCCCCCCC